TGGTTCACCAATAAACATATATCCCCTTCAACCTAGAAAACAGTGAGTTTGTCTTGCTTGTCGACTTATGAAATTAAAAGCCTAACTGCTTTTAGGGAGTTTTATATCCACAGAGAATAAACTCATTCTCTTTCTTTCTGTGATTTTATTTATGCGGTTTAAATGCTTGTTTTATTATAAACACTATGCTAGGCAATGAGGATACAGCAGTGAAGAAAACCAACAGTTACTGTTCTCATGGGGCTTCCATTTAGTGGAATATTGGACAACACCATTGTTTCTTTTTGTCCAATATTCTTTTTTTTATGCATTTTTTTTTAAAGATTTTTTTTTAAATTGGGATTTGGGGGATGGGAACAGTGCTGGGGAATTGGGGGAAGGGGAACAGACAAGTTGCTGTCCTTTTGTTCTTCAGTCTAATTGTGGAGGATGTTGCTTCACTGGCCCAAGTTGGCACCATCATTGCACTCTTCCCAGGCGAGGCGGATCAGTCCCTGGTTTCTGGACGGCTGCTCACTGTGGCTGCTGGACGCTCATGCTAGCTGCTGGCTACACACGGTAGCCCATGGCAACCCACTGCAGCAGGGGCTGCAGCCTAGCGGTCACCGGCGACTCACAACAGCCCAGCTCCAGGTTGAGCTATTGTTCAGCATCTTAGCTGTGGAGGGCAGTGTCACTGGCCCTCATATGTGGGATCCGAACCAGGGCCCTCTGGCGTCCCAAGCCAGCTCTTAACCCACATGCCACTCGGCTGGCCCCACCATTGTTTATTGATTTTATAGTTATCATTATTTAAAATATAATACAGGATGAATCTTAATAAGGTATGAGTGAAAGGTTTTTGAGATGTCATCTTAAGGAGAAGAATATTAATTTGAAAGCTTGGTGCTAGTAGGTTTTAAAATTAATAACAGGTGCCTTACAGAGATTGTCATTGTCATATCCTGGTCATTTTGTAGACTCAGTGACAACTGATTTTCTCTAAACAAATTGAAGATAGTTTTATTTTGTAGGTTCTATGGTCTGAATGTTTGTGTTTTCCCCAGAATTCATATGTAGAAATCCTAACCCCCAAACATGATAGTATTAGGAGGTGGGGCCTTCCGGAGGTGCTTAGGCTCTGCCCTCATGAATGGAATTAGTTCCTTTTTAATGGAGGCACCAGAGAGGCTCCCTTGCACCTTCTACCACATGAGGACGCAGCCAGAGGTGCTGGCTGTGAATTAGAAAAAGGGCCCTTACTATAATGCAAACCTGCTGGCATCTTTATCTTGGACTTTTCAGCCTCCAGAACTGGGAGAAATTTATCTTGTTTATAAGCCACCTAGCCTGTGATATTTTGTTAAACAGCAGTCCAAACAGACTAAGACAGTGAGCTATGTTTATGACCACTTTTATTGTGTGCATCATCAAATTATACATTTATTCAGTCTTAAAAAACACTATATGGGAAGAATATAGTATAGTATAGAGAGAGACATCTTCTAAGTTCTTCAGGGAGGTTCAACCATTCTAAATAACCCTCAAAGTAGTTTAGCAGATTTTGGTTCCATCTTCTGCAATTTAAGACCCAGTGTTACCTGCAGTATAGCTATCCTCAACTGACAAGCCAGCAAGATCTTGGAGGAGGGGCTATTTTGGGGAAAACTGTAAGGAGTTACAGGGTGTTCTGATGATTATTCCTGCATAACAAACCACCCCAATATTTAGTGGCTTAAAACAACCATTTAAATATGCCAATTAGACCCTATTGGTTAAGAATTTGGACAGTACACTGTCCAAATGTGTAGCTACCCTACACATTTGCATATACGTCTTTATATGAACATGTTCTCACTTTTGGGTAAAAACCTAGGAATGGGATTGTTGGATTGCTGGATTGTACGGTAAATTTATGTTTAATGCTATAAGAAACTGCCAAAATGTTTTCCAAAGTGGTTGTACAGTTTTGCATTCCCACTAATAATGATAATTTTTTAGGCCTGGATTTTATTTTATTTTTTAAATTTAATTAATTTTGAAATATTTTTTGGGAATCAATGTTTTTCCAGGACCCATCAGCTCCAAGTCAAGTAGTTGTTTCCATCTAGTTGTACTATTTTGTGCTCTATAGCACTACTGTTGATGGACAGTTGTTTCCAGTTTGGAACTAGTAAAAAATAAATGCTGTTCTGGCCTTCTTCATAATAGCTCCAAACTGGAAATAATCTGAATGTCTATCAGTAAGAGAATGGATAATCAAATTGTAGTATATTCACATGATAAAATACTACTCAGCAATAAAAAGGACCAAACCACTGATATATGTAACATCATGGATAAATCTCAAAAAACATCACTAATTGAAACAAGCCAAATACTGAAGAATACATAAAATATGATTTCATCACTATGAAATCCAAGAATAATCAAAACTAATCTGTAGTGATAAAAATCAGAAAGTGATTTCTGGGGATAAGTGGAATTAATTAGAAAGCATAGCTCGAGGAAAATTTCTGGGATGGTAATGAAAATGTTCCATGTCTTGGTTTGGGTGGTAGTAACATGGGTATATACCAAGTATCAAAATTCATTGATTTGAACACTTACTATCTATGCATTCTATTGTGTGTCAATTATAACTCAATAAAAATTAATACAGAAAAATGCCATTTAGTCCTAAAAAATGCTATTATGAACATTCCTATACTTGGTTTTTGGAACACATATGTAGGCATATCTGTTGATTGTATAGTTAGGAGTAGAATTGCTGGGTCATAGAATATGTGTGAATCACGGCTCTGCAACTTTATATCTGTATGACATTGAGCAAGTACGCAGAACCTCTAGAGAACACAAGTTTCCTTATCTGTTACCAAGGAATTAATCTTACCTTGACGGGGTGCAAACCATGAAAATTGTTTTTGTCAATTAACAAAAAGACATAATGCTGAAAAACATTCTCTAAAACCACAGATTTTCAGGAAATTTGCTAATTGAAATATCAGAATGGAATATTCTGCTCTTTCCTGGAGGATCTGAGTTACTTTGACACAGAGAAGCAGCCTCAATTTTCCAACCCACTTGCAAAGCTTCAGATAAGGGGTTTCCAGGTACAACATTCCACACTTATCTTCATGTAGTTTCCAAGGAAACAGGATCTTGAGTCCTCTTATCAACTCAGGCCTGATGAGAATCCCTTTACACATAGCCTGGTATGCTTTTAGGCTATATCAAAACACCACATCTTTTCCCCAAATCCTAGAATAACTATCTCTTCCTGGGCTTGGCGGGATGCCCCATGACTCCTCTGGTGTGCAGTCTCCCTTGCAGCATTAAGCTAATAAACCTAACTTTGTCAGGCCACAGGAGTTCTTTATCACATGGCCCTTATCTTGGGGATTACTGATAAATATTTGTACATTTTGTTCACATTGCCTGGGGAGGCATTTAAGAAATGGTAGTTATTTTTAATTATTCATGTATAAATTCAGTAAATGTTCATTTGCCATCTAGTATTTGCAAGGTACAAATGTATCGCTATGAGAGAGAGCACAAGATAGCACAAGGCACAGATGGAAAACCACTTTTAATTTTAGATAGAGAAAGAAAACAACAATAATCACTGTCTTCGGTTGCTAAGAGAAAAATACCTTTACTGAACTTCACTTTACATAGAATAAAGTATAAATGAAAACATTCTCAAGACTATTTTATAGGTAAAAAAAGTACAATTTACATGATTTGCCACAAGATTTGCCATAAAACTGTGGATGCTAAGAAATGGTAGGGCTTTAACCAGAATGAGCACCCCCAAATGTCATCTGTCTCTTTCTATAGAGAAAAAAATGCTGTTATAAATGCTCCAACAAAAAATAGAGATAGACTGGCTTACAAAAGCTCTTAAGTCTGAATGCAGGCTCATTCAACCATTTGGGGTCCCCTCCCACGCAGGCAAGCAGCTTCCTTTCTTTACCGTTCCCCAGAGATTGCAAAGCAGGCTGGGGTGGGGTGGAGAGCACAGGAAACAAACCTTGACAGTTCCCCTTCACTCCTCCCTACCTTGATCTCTCAAACCCATGTCTTTCCATTTACCGTAAGCTCACAAAATGCAGTCTTCTAAGAGAACATTGAGGTCATACGCTTCAAATTACTTAAGGAAATTATTTTTAAAACTCGAGGGTCTAGTTCTCCAAGAAATACTGGTTTGGGATATAGATGAAGAGGCTATTTGGGAGGGATTTAAATGGAGAATGAATTTTGGAATATGAGAATACGTCTTAGGAAAGTACAGATGATGATGGAGTTAGCTTAGTGTTTGGGTTTTACAGTCAGATCTCAGAAAAGCAAATTAACCTCTGTGGGCTTAATTTTCTCAATTGTCAAAGGAAAAAGAATAACGCTTACTTTGGTCAGTTACTTTATTTCAACGTTTAAAAAATCGATTGTTCATTATTCTGAAGGTAAAAATATAGTTAGAACACCGTCCCTTGCTGTGAAAGAGCTCATGAATAATTGAATTGCAGTGAGGCTTCACATATAGTACGTGATAATCTTCCTTTTCTTTTTATTTTATTGTTTGATTAGAAGAGGGGTGGAATGAGAAATGAAAGTGGTTTGTAAATCATAAAAGTGCTCCGCTACTAACAAAGAGGTAGATGATAAAAGCAGAGTGAAGAATTTCAGAAATTTGGTTACGGATCTGAGTTTCAACGTTGTCGAATACTCCCATATTTGGGCCTGAATTCTCAGAATAGAACAGAATAGGATGTTAGGGCTGAGATCATCTGGTACAATTTTATGCTAATCGAAAATTCTTGCCTACTGTCACCGTATCATGGCGAGAAACAACATCGCCACCCCAGTTCCACCAATCCCAGCTTCATCGGTGTGACGTCATGCCCCGCCCCGCATCCCCAAGGCTCAGGGCGTCCAGTCTCTAAGCTACCGACCCAGGTCCTAGTTGCAGCGGCGCAGGCGCACTGTGAGGCAGAGCGGGGAGGACGCTTGCGCGCTGCGTGGGGGCGGTGCTAGTGCGCACGCAGCCTCGGCCCCGTCCCTGCCCTTTTTCTTCCCGGTTTCCCCGTCAGCCTGCGGTCCGGTTCGGTAGCTGCTTCCGGTAGGACCGCGGTGCAGGGCGAGTAGGTCTCAGCTCTTCGTCATGTCCTACGGACCCTTAGACATGTACCGGAACCCGGGGCCCTCGGGGCCCCAGCTCCGGGACTTCAGCAGCATCATCCAGACTTGCAGCGGCAACATCCAGCGGATCAGCCAAGCCAGTGAGCCAGGGGACAGAGCTGGGGGGCGGGGTTCGTCCTGGGGACAGGCCTGGGTGAGGCTGCCGGGACGCGGAGCTCGGCTGGGGCTGGGGCTGCGGCCACACCTGAGGCCGTCTCGGCCTTTCCACTCTGGAGGCGGCAAGCTGAGTCTGTCAAGGCCGGGCTCCTCTGAGGGTCCCGAGCCCTAGCTGGAAGCTCGAGTCTCTTCTTAGGAGTTATGCCCTCACTGTGTTGGGGCATAATAGCAGCCCTGACAGCCCCAGGGTGGGAGGGGGTATGTGTGTCACCCCGAGAGCAGTGAGTAAGTTGACTTGGCGCAGTGGTCAGTCGAGTATTTCCTGTCATCTGCCTACTCCCACCCCACCCCCGCCCCCACCTCTCTTTCCTCTTTGGCCAGTTTGCATCGGGAGTTGTTTACTGATGTAGACTTGAGGTTTACATTCTGCTCAGCTTCTGGCTCCTTGGAAATCAGCAGCTTTCAATTAAGGGAAGTGGAGCATGGATGTGTTTGGATGACTTAATACACAGTTCTTCCTTTAATGAACTTGGAAGTCAGATACAGTGACTTGTATTTGAGGGATAAAATGACCTCTGTTTTAATAAAGAGAATTCACCGAAAACATTTCAATTTACATTATTTTGTCTTTTGTAACAAAAGATTTGCATGTATTTTTGTTTTCCAAGCTGATGAAGGTTTTGTTTTCCTTCCCTGTTTAGCTGCTCTTGAACACATCTGATACAGAGAAGCTCAGGGACTTGGCCATAATCACGTAGCAAGTAAGAGGTGGTAGAGCTGGTGGTGGATTTCAGAAGGTCATTGCTTGTCTTGAAATTCTGTCCCCACCAGTAGGGTCTGAGTGAGTGGCCGAATGAGTCGAGTACAGGCTGTTTCTTGTGCCTGAGAATCAGCTCCAAGCCTTTTATCAGCAGGTCAGCAGCAGCAACTTTACTTGGAAAAATGGTCATGATCATCCTTGTTGTTTATTATTACTGTTTTTGTGAACTTGGCTGTACTTTGTTAATAGGTAGAACTAGTTGGTCCTGAATTACAATTATGTTCTACATTTTAAAGAACAATCTATCACTTTGCTTTTAAACTTAAATACGCATACATAATGTAGAATTTGAGTGGCAGGAAGTTTCTGATGGGAAGAGATGATTTGAAAGTGGAAAGAATATGTGGCCTGTTAAATCCAGAAATTAAAAAAAAATTAATGGACTACTGGTTAGAAAATATAGTACTTTGTGTTCCAGTTATTTTTGTGTGTGTGAGGGAGCTGTAATCCATGTTAGATCAGAAAATTGTGGTTCAAGGCTAGAAGTTCTGTTAAGGCTAAATCTAATTTTAATGTCTATTTGTAAAATCATTCTACATATATTTGAGTATCAGGCCATGTAGTAAGTACTATAGGAACTGCATGGATTGTTTCAAAAGGGTTTCTGTGGAGTACACAATAATTGAAATATAAAGTTGAAAGGGATCAGTGCTATAGAAGAGGTATAAGTAACATGT